GTGCCTTCACTGATGCGGGTGGGTGGGGAGCTGATGGACCTTGTGCGTCACCTTCTGATCTTTCAATCTGTTTAATTTTTGTACTTGGTTGGCCTCGACTGCACCGGATTCGTGTCTGAAGGATTTATCCAGGCCATGCTGGATCCTCTTTCGGTCTTCTTTGTCGGTAATTCTGTTGAAGAAGGCCTCTAGCCCCTGGGAGATATCAGATTGTAGTTTTTATTTTATCCAACGTTTGTGCTGGATTCTTTCTCGGGATAAGGGTGTGTCCCGCTTTTTCTGCGACCAGACGGGCTCTCCTTGAATTGACGGGTTGTCTTGGTGTCAAGCTTGAAGAGATGAGTCGTAAGCCTCTGCATCGATGTAGGAATATTAAATAGTTTGATAATCGTGCCAGCTTCTGGTGGGACTTTTCTGTCTCCATAGAATAAGAAATTTACATAGCCAACATTTGTGGGAAGATCGGAATCTCCATGGTACAATACATGCTAGACAGCAGCACAAGTTTTCGATTAATATGTGGGTGACAGTCTGGTAGGTCCATATGTTCGACTAGCACGTCATACACGAGCTGTTTACTTTATTTCAAACACACTTCCAGACATGCTAGAGGATGTACCCCTGCTAATACGAAGATGCATGTGGTTCATGCATGATGGGGCTCCAGCACATTTTAGTCTCATTATTCGCGGTGCACTGACTGGCATCTATCATGAAAGATGGAGGAGGTAGGGGAGGACCGGTTCCATGGACTGCACGTTCCCCCGAATTCAATCCCTTGGATTTGTATCTGTGGGGTCACTTAAAACAATTCCTTTATACAGCAGACATTAATAACATTGAGGCGCTTCATCAACGGGTCATGGGGGACTGCGGAACTATTCGACACCGTGTGGGAGTATTTGACAGGGTCCGCCAGTCAGTGATACGACGGGTACATGCGTGTGTAGAAGCAAGCGGAGGACATTTTGAACATTTGTTGTGTACTGCTTCGTTGAGGTACAACGATGACCTTTTGGATATATGTTTATATGGGCATTTTATATTGTTTTTATGCCAGGAATCCGACCCCAAAATTTGTAAAAGTTTTTTGTTTTATTTTGTTTATATATATATATATATATATATATATATATATATATATATATATATATATATATGTGTGTGTGTGTGTGTGTGTGTAAAAAATATATGGATATAGATCCGACAATATTTCAGAAAAAATATTTGGAAAAAAATTTCAAACAAAAATCCTTATATGCAATTATTAACATTAAAACATATTAACATTAAAACAGCATAATTGCATATAAGGATTTTTGTTTGTTTTTTTCCGTATATTTTTTCATATATATATATATATATATATATATATATTATGAGGTGTACTATATTTATGGGATAAAGTGCTCAAAATCAGAGATAGAGCATATGTAAATATGAAAGTGAATATTGAATTCAACACTCAGAAGCAACAGACTGTTTCATGTCTTAAACGCAATCATCAGGCCTGATGATATATATATATATATATATGTTGTGTTTGTATATATATATATATATTTGATGATTATTTTTTTATTTATTATATATATTCTTTATTATATTATATTTGATGTTTATTTTAGTTTTTATTCCCGTATTATTTTGTTCGTTGGCGATTATATTTCAACTTATTAATCATTTCTGACTTTTGTATTATTTATCCATTTTACGTTTTTTTCTGTTTCTCAGTTTCAGTAAAATGTCCTGCTTTCAATTTCCTTTCTTGAATGATTTGATTAATATATATAATGTTTTATCAAATTTTCCAAGCCCTGTATCTTCATTATGTAAATTTGAGATTTCAAATTTCCATCTGATTTTAAATTTTAAGATGTCTTAAATAATTTGACTTTCCTACGTCTTACATTGATTTAATCATAAAATTAAAACGTTTCAAGTTTTTGATATATTGATATTCGTTCCAATGATTTGACGCCTCTAAAAATATGATTATAGGGATTTACCGAACGATAATGGATATGTCTGATCAAATTTTCCGATAATGGATATGTCTGATCAAATTTTCCAAGCCCTCTTTCTTCATTATGTACTTTTGAGATTTCAACAAATATTTTAATGGATAAAATTTTTCTTTCTTTTTATGATGTTTCAACTGTTTCTTTCTGATGTTAAGCGTAAGTGTATTATTAAATAATTTGCCTTACACGAGACTCTCTTACTTTGATAATAATCATATGAAATTAAAACGATCAGAATTTGATATATCGATATTTTGACTAAAATGATTTGACGCTAATAAAAATATGTATTATAGCATACCGACGGACGATAATGGATATGTCTTCATTCATATAAATACAGTAGTAAATACTGTATGTTGGTCTGCAGTCCGAGATTCGTCTCCAGCTGTGCTGGTCAAACTCTCTGCCTCCGGACAGAGATGATTCCCAGCCGAGGCTATGTCGTCTCGTCTCGGGAAAATAGCTATACGACCCCATTTTATACGGGGTCTACGGGGAATTTTTTGCCGAATCTACGGGCTCGGAGAACCCCCACATTAAATTCGGCCTTGTGCCACATCTGACTGCGCGGGACGTTTGGTACGTATCCTGCAGTTGGAAATTCATTGTGGAATTCACTTGACTCACTTGTAGCAGTTGACTACTTCTTCTACGCGCCGCTGGTGATATGTGTTGTTCTTGTTCTAAGTATTATCGTTCATTACCTACCTTTGTGTGATTATTCTATTCAGTAACCTTCCCTAGGTTACAACAATATGACACAGTTAAAACGATCGGACATTGTTAAAACGATTCTTTTCTGATTAGATAATTTAAATTTGATAAAGCAGTTCGATTTTTGATCAGTCGATTTGATAATACGATAAAATGAATCAATTTTAAAAATACGATCTCACTGATTTGATCTGATTTCGACAAGACGGATTCAATTTTTGATAAAACTATCAGGCTTTTTAAAAAAATGACCCGATTTTGATAAAAGCTTTTAACTTTATGAATACAATTTGACATTCATAAAATGGATTGTGATTGTGATAAAATAGTTTTTACAAATGTCGTAACTTTGCTAATATGGTTTTACGTTGATAAATCAGGGTGTTTAGTGCGAGTTTTGATTAAACGACTTGACTACTACGACTATTTGATTTTTGAGAAAACGATTTTATTAATTCTTTTCGTAAAAGAAACACTTTCAACAGTCCTTACGTGTAAAGGGTGTATTTTTCGATGGTTGTTGTGTTTTAATGTGCGTATATAAGCAAATTCACATATGCATATACACATTTTGGCTATTTCAAGATTAATTAGTGTTAATATTTAATGAATATTCATACAGTGGAACCTCAGTTCATGAATATAATTCGTTAATGAAGCCTGTTCGTAACTCGAAATGTTCGTAAACCGAAACTATTTCTCTAATAGAAATCAATGTAAAATTAATTAATCCGTTCCTGGTTCCAAGATGATGGCTTATTTAAACTTTAACAACAGTACTTTGTGCATAAGTTTATACACAAACTAATGAAAATCATGTAATACATAAAACTAATGAAAATCATTAAATACCAGAAGAAAAAAAAAACAATACTAAACGAACACCCCAATCTTACCGTACCTGCATGTAGGAGAATTGATGGCGTAAGTGGAAGGGGAAGGAAAGAGATGTTATTGTTTGGAAAAGGGAAGGAAAGGCATGATCGTCTCTTTATAAGAATAAACAAACAAAAAATACTGAGCTGTTACGTGACATCTGTCCTTTACGGCAGCGAATGTTGGATGATTTCCTCAAAGATGAAGAAGAGACTTGAGGCGACGGAGATGTGGTCCTACTGAAGGATGCTAAGGATATCACGGACCAAGCGTCTGGGCAAATATAAGGTCTTAGAGAGGATGCAAACCAGAAGAAGGCTTATACTTAATATCAGGAAGAAGTAGCTGAAGTTTCTGGGACACATAATGAGGAAGGAGGGCCTGGAGAATCTGATACTCACTGGTGGAATAGAGGGAAAGAGACACAAGGGAAAACAACGCGTGACATAACTGGGGGGGGGCTTAAGCAAGTGAATGACAGAACGTTGTCTGGGAGAGGAAGCAGAGGGAAGGAACTTGTTGAGAGCTGCAAGTGATAGAGGGAGGTGGAGAGTCATGATCGCCTACATCCTGAAAGGCAATGGCACATAAAAAGAAAGATAGATCGTCGATTTTGCCATATGAAACTGGGAAGGAAGAGACAATATCATCACCATAGAGACAATATCATCAACAATTGTTTTTCTCTTAACTTTTCTTTTTCCTTTACCAATATCAATGCTAGCTTTTTTTTTTTTAGCCATGACTGAAGACAAAAGAAGAGAAAAAAGTCACAGTATAATAAAACTGGATAAGAAAAGCACAGTACAGCACACAAATGTATACAACACGGCGGTTGAGAAAGAAATGGTTCCGTTCGGTTTAACTCGGTTCGACTCAATTCGACTCGGTTCTGGCAATGTTGTTCGAGAACCGAAATTTTGTTCGATAACCGATGTATTTTCATCTCGAATATTCTGTTCGAAAACCGATTTTTTCGACAAGTGAGACGTTCGAGAACCGAGGTTGCACTGCATATGTTTCTGCAATACATTTTCCTGCCTTCTGTATCAAGAAATTTTGACTGCTGTCAAGTTTGTAGCATGCTCTATTCACCGAGAATAAATACATGCGACAATGAGAGAGTGCGAACCAGAGTGAAAATTGGTTTGTTGATTGATTTTGTTTAGCGGCATATCATCTTATATGGGTTATTTAATGTCGAAATCTAAATATTTTGTATATAATTTTATGCTTTCAGAGTAAAGGTACTTTTTCTTTTAAATATATAGATTGTAAATCATAAAATGTTGCTAATTTTTTATAAAAAGTATTGATGATAATTTTACTATAAAAATCTACTGTTGATTTTTGTTTGGGGGTTAACTAGGACTCTAACAGGTGCTACCACCCCAGAGAGAGAGAGAGAGAGAGAGAGAGAGAGAGAAAAGATAGAGAGAGTGGATCAAAGAAAGGAAGAGGCAGAAGAATGAGAAAGACAGAGAAAGAAAGAAAGAACGAGAGAAAAAAGAAAGTGAGAAAGAGAATGAAAATGAAACTCAGTGAGAGAGAAAGTAAGACATTGAGAAAGAGGAGATGCAGAAGGATAGAGAGAGTGGATCAAAGAAAAGAGAGAGAAAGAAAGATAGGGATGAGCAGAGAGAAATGTAAAAGGCAGAGAAGAAAGAACGGGAGAAGAAAGAGAGTGAAAGAGAAAAAGAAAATCAGAAAGTGAGTGAAAGAAAAGGTGGAAAGATAGATAGTGGTTCCAAGAAAAGAAGAAGCAGAAGCGCGAGAAAAGCATAGAAAGAAAGAAACAGAAAATATAAAATTTTCAGGTGAATTAAAATTTTGTAGAGAGAGAGAGAGAGAGAGAGAGAGAGAGGTAGAGATAGGGAGAAGTAGAAAGAAAGAGATAGAGAGAGCAAAGAGAGGAAGAATTTAAGAATAAGACAATGAATGAAAAGACAGGAGAAGAGAGAGAGAGAGAGAGAGAGAGAGAGATAGAGATTAAGGGATATTAAAGAGGGAGGAAGGATGAAAATATTCAAAACGCCATCTGGGTCCACCTTGTCACGATGTCACCTGGTGTTAAATTGGTTTTGAAATGTTCAGCGCTTACACCTTACCCAAACAAAGACGAAAAGCGGTCAATACAGATAATCACTAAAAACGACTGAACAGATTTTACAGAGAAGGCAGAAACTCATTCAAAAAAATTTAACGAATTTTCCTCTCTCGTGATTCTACCAATAAGATTCATTTGATCTTCACCCAACACACACACACACACAATATATATATATATATATATGTATATCCAAGCATGTTTTGTTCAATAATCTGGCCATATGTCTACTTATTTTATTTTAATCCTCTCGAATTTTATGTTCGACTTCATGATTTTGATATTAAATTCATTAAGGAAGTTGCCGTAGTTTTTTTTCATTTCTTTTATTTTCCCAAGTTCAGGGGTGAATTGCTAAGACAAAAATTAATGTAATTGATAGCAATTCACTCCTGAAGATGATCTCGGATGAGATTGAAAGTACAGGCGGGGCTAAATTCTGTTTCTTCATCCTTCCTTCTCGGTATTCTAATTCTGCCCACTTTTCAAGGCTAGCATAACTGTCTTTGCAACAAATCTAATTTTTAAAGTGCGCAGGAAAAAAAAGCGTGGTTTATTCTTCTCATAAATTTCAATCCTCTGACCCCCTTTCCTGGGCCCACTTGTCCAGCGAAAAAATACAAACCAGATCACTTTCTCATAGAGCGATAAATAAAAATTATTTCCCAATTTGTTTTTGCCAATGAAAATATATTTGTTTACCTAAATTCTCAAAAAAAGATACACGCTGTTTTCTATCCTTGGGCCGGTCACCGTCTTAACGGAAACATAAGCCAGATCACCTGCCTGTTAAGATAATTTTTTAATATAATAACCATTTTCTAAAATTATTCTCTATTTTCATTTCTCAATTCGTTTTCGCCATTGAAAATATATTTCCTGTCTGCTTCTCTTTTTACCAATGACGTGTTTTTTCCTAATTTCCCAAGAAAGAGATTTCCCAATTTTCTTTACCCGCATGCCAGATTTTCAATAGATAGAAAAAATAAACTCTCGGCGCATCTTTCCAATTCGTAGGGGTGAGACAACCCAGATAACTCTTTCTTCACTTCCACATTACCGGAGAAAATGTCTTCCATTCTTTCTTTCTATCTTCCAGTTTATATTTAATTATGGACTTAAAACTTTTCTGCTTAGAATTAATGTTTAACCCCCTTACAGACTAAGTGTCACAGGGAACATAAAAGAAATGAAAAAACTACGGCGTCTTCTTTAATGAATTTAATATCAGCATTAGGGAATTCGAGAGGATTAAAATAAAAATAAATAGACATAATATGTTCAGATTATTCAAACAAACATGTTTGAATGAAGATATGCTCTCTCTCTCTCTCTCTCTCTCTCTATCTATCTATCTATCTATCTATCTATCTATATATATATATATATATATATATATATATGTAATGACTGGCAAGTCTCATTTTCCAAGAACACACGTCTGCTAGGGTGGCTAGCCAATCCCTGTCGTGGACGCCTGCTCAGGCACATTTGTGTTTGTCCAACACCAACAAAGATTTATACAGCAACTATGCTCAGAGGATCTTAGTCATAGGTTCTGGGAGAGAGTAACAGTTTGAACAACGCTAGTACGCACAAACCCTCGGTCACGATGACTTGTGACTTCGCGCTAGCACAACAGTCGACGACTTCCGAACGGCTCCATTTACCAGTTTCATTCACAAGGCTCGGGTCAACTCATTGGTATGGTTTTCCTTGAGCCACTCGAGGTAGAGTCTTACAGAGTAAGAGGCACAGTTTTTGTGAATATGTGGAGAAGATAACGGTTAACCCTAGACTTGAACAGGAGTCGGTTCGGGAGAACAGCGGATCTGGGAAAGAAGCTGCTCGGGTTAAAGCTACATCTCACCCATGGAATACGAAACGAATGAGCGTAGTTCGCTACAATGTGCGGAGCATGGTGGGTTATAGCCGTGAAGGAGAGAACTAATTTTGGGACTAAGGAATGTAGTTCGTCTGATCACTTTCTATAGAAACAGCAAGGCAATTTTATATAGAACACAGTGCAAGTCAAAATTTAGGTCAATTTATGCACATATAGATGAACATGTGACAAATAATTAAAACAGTTTTAAATATATAACAAATTTTAGTAGATAACATCAAATATTATATATATATATATATATATATGTGAAAAAATATAGTCTTAAGATGTGCTATATTTATGGGATAAAGTGCTCAATATCAGAGAAAGAGCGTGTGTAAATATAAAAGTGGCCTGACGATTGAATCTAGCATGAAACAGACTGTCGCTTCTAAGTGTCGACTTCTATGTTCACTTTATATATATATATATATATATATATATATATATATATATAAACTTCTAATTTTATTATCATGTTTTGTTTGTTTGATTACTCTTACTTTCACAAACATAGATGTAAAGAGTTTTTCTCTCTTTCCTTTCCCCATACGCATATACAACTCTCCACATACACACATATATGTATATATATATAGCTTTTTCTCTCTCTCTTTACTTCCGCAGCACGCATTCCCAATTACACGCAAACACACACACACACACATATTTATAGTTTCTCTTTACTTTCTTCACCCACACGCACACCCAACTGTCCACATACACATACGCACACAGACGCATACGCACACGCACATATATATGGACGCACGCACGCACCTACCCTCATTTGTATGTATTTATGTAGAACTGACCACCCTTAAGAGTAGGTTGACGCGTAAATCCGTTGCTATTTATCTGAGGTAAGAATTCAGCAAACACCTCATATAATTCTCACCTTGAGTAATCTCAAGTGTGTCTTTGGCAAGCATTGCCCGACGCATACACCGTCGGAATTCAACAAACACTTCCTTCAGAATAAAGACCAAAAGACAGAGAGCGTCTGATACAACCATCCACTTATCGCCGCCATCAATTAAAATAAAACAAGCAAGAAAGAAAAATTAAGATAAACGTTAAAATATACAAACTGCGCCTAAATTTTGAATTGCACAACCAGGACTTCGATAACGTTTTTCTTCAAGCTAACTCCGGACAAAAATTACTTCTTAAAATTAATTTGAATCAGTAAAGCCCCTAATCGTCCATTTTGAAAATTTGTATTTATTAAATTTAATCTTGTATGGCATAAGGATATCATGATGGAGCGCCTAATGAAAATCGGTTTCACTATAATAATTATACTATACAAGACTAGCTTGTTAACCATCACGCTAAAATCATAAATATAAATTGCTAAAGCGACTACCACGACATGATGATTAACTAGATATTGTCGTAGGCTAGTTCGAAAGTGTACTGAATTTGAATTTTTTCGAGTGTCCCCAAACCTTGGTCTTGTACCAGACTATGTTAAGATTTATCAGTAATATGAATGAGTATATATATATATATATATATATATATATATATATATATATATATATATAATAATCTAAATGAAATCGGCTAGATTATATAGCCGAAACACATTTTAAAAAATCATATTTAAATTTCGAGCATATGAGTAGTCGTATCAACTTATCATAGTCCGATGAATAAAGGACGCGCCACTTGAAAACTTTTTACACTTTGTCATACTTCTTTTCCATAATATATATATATCCTAAACCAGTTGCCATCCAAGGCTATAGAACTCAGTCTGTTCTGCTAATTACGCATAGCTGGAGGGAGAAGAAGAGGATCTAAACCTTTCCAAAGTCTATTAGCACGTAAGTGAATGTAATGGATTCGACTAGAATTGAACTTGGCTTTTCTAGCCCCCCTGCCTGAGCCTCCTTTATATATATATATATATATATATATATATATATATATATATATATATATATATATATATATATATATATCGGAGGATACGATATATAAATTCTATAGACTAATTGAATAACAAAATAAAAAAGTTATACGTGTCGTGTTTCAACCTTTGAAGCGACTTCTTCAGACAAAATAACGTTTTTATTGATACAGTTATAAATATGTGGGTGTAGAGAACAAAATATAATTAATGTCGGTTGTACTTATACATTGAGAAAAATGTAGGGACGTTTACCTTTAAATCTTGAATTTCTGTTGTCCAATATTTCAAGATGCTCAACCACGATGACCCCATTCATCTTTACACTGTTTTTGTTTTGTATCATTGTTGATTTTAAATCTCCCACATTGTAATAGCAGTAGTTTTATTAAGAAAGATCATATACTATATGAACCTGGACGTAAATTTACCATGAATGACTCAGAAATTATTGCACTTTCTATATATTTCGTCTTAATAAATTATTTTCTTCTTTTTAAATGAAACTAAATTCTTTCAGTTGAAATTATGGTTAGGCATATTACAAAAACTTATTAAGTGTATTTTTTCTTAACGATTCTTTTTCTGTCCATATATGTCGATCTTCAAATATTCACTCATATACATACATACATACATACATACATACACACACACACACACACACACACATATATATATATATATGTGTGTGTGTGTGTGGTATATTTCGGTAGGAATTAATCTTGTAAAGTTCACAATAGATATTTTGTATCTATTATATTTAATGATCTTTCTTTTGTAATGTATGAATATCTTATCGCAAAAACGTTTGTTATGGGTGGATAAATTGGACATAATTCATATTGTATTGTCCCAAGCTTGAATGGATATAAAAAGAGTTTTCCAAACACGTTGTTATACGTTGATGTCATGACTTGCTACATTAAGCAGAATTTGATTTAGTTTTTAGAAAATAACGAACTTTACAAAATAATAATAGACTCTACTTCTTAAAGCACACTTGATTTTCTCTCTTTCTTCAGCTATCCACCCCCCACACGCCACCGATGATGGAGTAGAAAGCTTGGGACGAAACATCATGAATTTTATCCAATTTATCCACATTGAACAATCACATTTTCGATAGGATATATCCTGCATGAGAAAAGAAAAATATAATAGGAACAAAATGTCTATTGTTTTTAACAAGACCTACACACACGTACACACACCTATACAGCTAGAGTGATTTTCCAAGCCTAGCTTAGATGTGGCACAACGCCGAAAGTATGGGACACTCAGTGAGGCTCTAATTCACTATTCAGTTGTAATTGTTCTAGCGAGACAAGCTTGTTAACCATTACACCGCCTCGAGGTGCCCTTTTCTAAGCGTAGCTTAGATGTGGCACAAGGCCGGAAGAAGGGGCATCCAGTGAGGATCGAACTAACTATTCAGCTGTAACAGATCTAGCGAGGCAAGCTTGTTAACCATTACACCACCTATACAGATATATGATGGATTCATTCATCGATTCAATGCGTAAGGACTAAATAGTCATTTCAGTTCATTTTTATGTTTATACCTTAAGTGGCACTTCAGTCATGCAGCTGATTTACACATCAAGCCACATTGAGTGCAGATGAAAGGGTGTTGAACGGTGCAGGTTGGAAAGTTTGATCGAATATTGGTTTTAGATCTTAGATCACGAATATGGATCAAACAAGATTTTTTAAAGTTCTTTATGCCTTCATGGTAGACTGTCGCCCATTTTCCACGGTCAGCAGGTCGAACTTTAAAAAAAGTAAGAGGTACATTGAAACATCCTGAGTTAATATTGTACATACATTGATCCGATTTTAAGTTCAAATAAAAAGAGCTCAAAAGTGTTTAACAACGCGAAGTCAACTGCACAGAGTCCAAAATGAGGTGAAAAGCTTAGATGTACTGGGCCGCGTAGTGCAGGCGAGACATTCAACTTAAAACCCCCAAAATCCGTATCACCTGTGAGTTAATCGGTTTTTTTACAAAGTTTGAGTCCCAAATAAAAAATCGGGCTCCGGCATGACACAATGACGTAAATTGAAAAATCGGATCTGGGATGCGGCCTGGGAGAAAGAACAAAGTTTAAAGAAGTGGGAAATGGACTGCTGAGGGCATGGTCAACACGGAGGTTTGTATCGATTTTTGAGTCACGACGGGGTCACACGGCATTCTATGCAAGGCACCTCTAACTGGGCCGCGTAGGAATTTCTGGTTGAATTGTAAAGAACGCCCGAAATTTTAGAATGTAATCCGCCCAAATACCGGAGTACCAGCCGATTTACCAATTTTTTGAAAGCCTGAGTCCAAATTGAAAATCTGTCTCCGTTACGAATTGACGCCGTAAATGTCGGAAGTTGAATCGACATTTGACGTTAATTGCAGCCTGGGCGTGAAAAGAAGTCAAAAACTGACAGCTGATGGCAGGGTCGAACCGGAGCTTTTTATCGATTTTTTGCTGCACGAAGGGGTCTCGCACGCATTTTTGAAAGGGCCCGTAATCTGGTCGGGGTCATTCATTTCTGTACATATGGTATGGTGATGTGAGGAGAGACAATTGATGCTTGTAACTATACATTAGTTGGCGATGAGTTCAATGCTTCACAGTAATGCGGTAAAGGGGAGCAAGTGCTTATCCCAAGGATGCATTTGTATCCATCAGATGCCGATGTACCCTTCACTTTCAGAAGATCCCCATTCCCATTCACACCCTGTTTTGCTATGACAATTAATAAGGCCCAAGGACAAACACTGTCTGTCACTGGTGTACACTTAGAGGAGCAGTGCTTCTCATACGGCCAACTTTACGTAGCCTGCTCTCGAGTCGGCAGGCGCGATGATGTGTTCTTTTATTCACCCTGAAAAAAACTGAAAATCGTCGTTGCACACCAGTTATAAGTTTTGAATAGGTCCTGAACCTGGGTCGACCGTACTTCCATTCCATCGCATCTTTTCCTCACGTTTATGAAAGGTATCGTGGACTGCCTTTGAACGTTGCACATGCTATTCCATCTTGCCTATATTGTGTTGGATCAGCGTCATTTCGTAAAGCATCACGGAGGTGAATGTAAGAGTTGCAGCGCAACTTGGTCTGATTCAGTCTGATGTAACAAGTCTTTGACGGATTCCATCTTCCGGCAGCCATGTCTACTAATGAATTGATGGACAATTTGCCGGCTTCGAATGAAGATGATTGAATGCACCCTTATGTACCCCTCAATAGGTAGGCGTAGAAAGCCCTCCAAGAAAGGTGGACCCATTTTGTAGAACGCCAAAGTGGTACCCATCTTCTCCGTAAGGGAAGAGAAGTGGGTATTGCAGTGCATCGTAGGACCGGTGCGTTTTACTTGATTCTTCGGAGCCCACTGCCGCGCGATTCGATAACAATGTCACTTTCTGTTGTGTGGATGATCACCGCTGACAATGACGGAAACTTCGTTACTTTCGGGAACATTGAAACGACGTTCGTGCTCTCCCCGGATGAGTCCAGCAGAAGAGCATTTTGTCAGCATCAATTACAATAATGAAATCAGAAGAAGTGTTATTTTCGAGAGCATACTTAAAACTGCGGACATAGCTGTTTGTCTCGTGGAGCATTTGTTGGAGACTCATTATGATATCCCTGCGAGGATGATTGTCCTGGCCTGTATCGTTCTCGGGAATAATGCCCATGCGGGCATCTGCCTGTTGATTGTAGTCAGCTATGAAGTATATTTGTAGAAAGGCCGAATCAGTGGCAGTTTCCGGCAAAAGAGACCCAATCCGGTGGTAAACCTGACCTTGAACCTTGAAGGTGGGATTCCAACCGACTTCGCGGAAGGCATTAACACCGAAAGAGGTCATCTGGAAGGCACAATTGTACTGTCTGATTTTTGCGAGGAAATGTTTGGAGTCTGGACTGGAACCCTCCAACAGAGCTTTCAACGGATCAGGTAGCTCTTGAAAAGGTGGCAACTGCACCTTACTGTCTGAACAACACAAACCTGCAGACACTCCAGGCCATTTTTTGGCATTGCAATGCCCACAGACAACTGACATGGATCCTATTTGGAGGTTTTTGCGACCAGAAAGCCTCAAAACTGGCTCATAGTTGAACACCAGCTTAAACCAAAACTGCTTTGGTGGGGCACAGTGCCCTCGCTGTGCATGGCGGCGCTGGTTAACAGTCTGCAACCTTTCAAGCCTTTCAGTAGGTTCTTTTACAGCTCTAGCAGCGGAAGTTGAAATTGCATCGCGTTGCCGCCTTGTGCGCTTTTCCGCGGAACTTTCCGATGCCCTTGCAGCAGAAGCTGCAGCGGCGTCGGCTGCATGGCGTGCGGTTTTCAACCATGGATTCCTGGGACCGTCGAATGGACGTTGCCGCAGCTTTCGCTGCGTTACGTGCGGTTTTCTCAGCCGTGGTCTCCTGGGACCGTCGAATGGAAGTTGCAGCGGCGTCGGCTGCATTGCGAGTAGCTTTTCGATGCGGGCTCTGTCGAGACCGCAAAAGCGCTTGTGATGAAGCCGCTTTTTTGTTGTCTTGCAAGCGTTTAGGTAGTTTCCTCTTACTTTTCAACGAATATGTGTAAACTGATTTGCAGTACAAACGGTAGTTACGCTCACCAAGCGTTTCATGTGACAAAACATACTGCCTCCGTTGAGATTGACTGGAAAGCCTCAAAGAGGCCTCTACCTCGGTTTCCTCCTCCCGCTTTCTCTTTGCCGCAGAGGCTTTTTTAGAACGCCTGCTAAGGTTGCCTCGCCATGGTATTTTGGCACGCTTAGCAAAGCTGCCGGGTCGGTCATCGCCACGGCACTCAGAAGAGTGTAAAGCAGAGGTTGAAGTAGACGCCAGCCGCTTCTCCCCCAAAGAGGCGCACTCAATGGAATCCTGTCCCGTTTCCCCTTAGATGGTGAGGCTTTTTTTAGAACGCCTGCTAAGGTTGCCTCGCCTGGGTGTTTTTGCAGCCTTTGCAGAGCTGCCGGGTTGGTCATTGCCACGGTACGCAGAAGAGTGCAAAGTATACGCTATATGATCATCTGTAACCGGAGTTATAATGTGCTCCCCTGCAGTCGCCTGTTCTGCACGTGTAACGTTAACGGTATTAGGGGTCTTCAGTTGGTGACGTGCGGATGTTCGTCGTGTAGGAGCCATTTGAAGGGTTGTAGAAATGCTGTGTAAAAATGCGAATAGAAGTTGATGCCGAAGCTGAAGCTGAAGCGGTGCAACCTCGTTATATACGAAAACTAAAAATGCAGTGGAGCGGTATGGAAAAAACTTCTCCTAGCTATGGGCCGTGCGAAAACGTCGCTGTAGGAAGAGGTTACGCAACCAAAACGTTGAAACGTTGAAGGGTTAAAAGTAGTGAAACACTGAGGTGTACTGGGCCGCGTAGTAAAGGCAGAAGAGAAGTAACTTGCGACAGCAGTTAACTGTCTAATAGCAAAACTGAACTACGAAAAGGTAGAAATAGGTATGGAACGCTAAGATGGACTGGGCTGCGCAGTAGAGGCAGCACGCGGAGATAAAATGGGTAATGCAAACGTTTAAGCAAATAGGTAACTTGCGGTAGCAGGAAGCTGTCAATTAATCCAAAGACAGATGCGTTAATGGCGATCAAATCAAGACGTGAGTGCGGATGCAGCCGCGCTGAAGGTATTTAAAGGGAGCGTGACTTGTCATTGATTGGTGTAGCCTGGACAATGGCCATGACTTAGACCAATGAATGAGCTCACGCAAAATGGAAGATGCTAGCGCGCATTCACGCACGCGCGCATGATTTGGCAAGCGCAAGGCTTGGCCGTAAACGGGGTCAAGCTGCCTGCTGCATATGCAGCTTGGCTCTAACGCACGTGATGCCGGCGATGAGAATGCAAGGAGCTGCAATGAAGCGTTTGCTCGTTTGGTTTGTGCGACAACGAAAAGCCGCTAACCGTTTGCCGGCATTAGCTTTGAAATGGATTGGGAGGAAGCCCTGCTGTTTTAGCGCAAAAACTCCTCGTCAGGTCTGGGATGCGGCCTGGGCTAGGGGAAAAGGTTTAAAGAATTGGAAAATGGACTGCTGAGGGCGGAACCATTTTCACTCAGCACGTATGCGGGTTTTTTTTCAGTAAAGACGCGAATAAAGGAAGTGCTTATTTTGGTAAGATGCGACGATTAAAGCAAAAGTGTTGACAAAGTCGAATATGTCATTTGTGGCTCAAAGTCAGACCTGGTAGCAGGGATAAAAAAGCCGAATTTCAATGGCCCTGCACCCATTCCAGAATTTGAGGTCAAATGTTTTCTTCCACTCCACTGCACGCACTGACCTGTTTCTTCCCGCGCATAGCGTGACCTTAAATTAATCTGCATTTAGGAAATACCCAACCGGAAAAACATTTTTAAGGGTTGACCGATTGTCGATTTGCACTCTGTTTGGGGGGCGCTCAGAGTTGAAACTTCACATGGTGACTCCCAATGGCCTCCTCATAAATCCGGTCGGTTTTCGCTAAAAACCGACATGCGGTTCAGGCGCAATCTGGGCGTATCGGTTTTTGGGTTTTATCGATTTTCCGCGCTGTTTAGGGGTCCGTGGTCATGAAACTTCTGGACAACACTTCTAATGGTAGACTCTAAGAGGGTGTCAAATTTGGTTGAAATGCGATCATTCCTTCTGTAAGCAGATTTTTTCGATTATCGATTTTTTTTCGGAACCTGAGTCCGAATGTGGATTATCGATTTTTCATCACCAAAACAAAAACATGTATGGCCAAGAGCCATGAGCTCAACAAAAAAATAAAAACATTTAATCGTTTCAGTATACGTGACCCGGCGGTTGCTTTCCTGGGAAGGTCGGAACTAATGGAACCTGATGAAATTTGTTTCAGTATACGTGACCCGGCGGTCAGAAAGGTCAAATTGATATGGAAATAGCTCGTCAGAACACTTGATATGGAAATATCAATAGATTAGCGAGAGGCCCGGGACGTATCGCCTGTGGGGAAGGGGTTTTAGGATGGACAATAATTCATCACCGACAAGTCAGCGTAGACGCTTTTGAATTCTACTAAGACTGGAAAGTGAAGATTGGATAGCTCCAGTCAGATATGACAGCAGGATTTCATTTGTTTGATCTGGCTCAATGTAAAGATAGAGCACAACAGGTGAAGTCAGTTACTTACTGGAGCCGTACAAGGAACCGACCATTCTTCCAGCATTATGAGTTCCACTTGAGATCTGGGGTGAATTTAGGTCTCAATGAGCGTTGGAGGCAATAGGCTTCCTTGAGAGAAAACCCTTTCATCACAATAGGCGAAAATTCAGGATTTGCTCGATCAACTAAAAGGCATGAGTGTCATACCTGGTATAGCATTAAAGCAGCTATTATTATTATTATTATTATTATTATTATTATTATTTCCTTTGATTTCTGTTGTACACACATTTCCTTTCGGGTCCCAACCAGTGACTTAAGGTTAGAAACGGCTTCATGACATTATCAACTGGTCATTTTTGTGAAAAAAAAAAAACAACAAACCCCTAAGATCACACACATTTTACTTAGATAAAGCTGTTAGTAATGTGTGATCTACACTTGTGAGTACAATTTTTGTATTTCTTTAAAGTTTGGGTTACCAGGAATCCCTTCAATGAGTCTATCAGAACCTTTTCCAATCAAACTGAGAGCTCCAACTACAAATGGAATTATTAATGTCCTCATGTGCCATATTTTTGAGATTCCATTTTCAAGGAATTTTGATAGTGTTGTGAAGATCTTCAAAAATACATTACAGTCTGCAGGGACTGCCATGTCAATAAGAAAGTACACTCTGTTTTTGTGGTCTTTGATCACAATGTCTGTGTGATTAGCTTTGATTGTTCTGTCCGTGTGAATTGTAAAGTCCCATAAAATTGTTACAGGTCTTATCTCTTATCCTATTTTGTTATGCCGGGTTTTATATTCAGTGCGTGTCAGTACCGTTCAACCTGATACAAGATGGTCAATTGTTTCTGGATATCTATCACAGAATCTGCATTTTGGGATAAGTGCTTGGCAATTTCTGTTTAGCAAGCATTGGTCCTGTGCAGCAAAAATAAAACTTTCGGTTTCAGCTTTTAACTCTGCACGACGTAGCCACTGATGTGTATGGGGTTTGTCTACATCAGTTTATTTGGTATGGGCAGAATATTGACCATGAAGAGGTTTATCTTGCTATTGTTTCTGTATCTGGTTCATTGCATTTGCTTTTTCTTTCTTTTTTAAGGTTTTTGCCGCTGCCGTCGGTCTATTGTGTTTTACTTACATTTCTTCACCCACTTGAAATTCCATTTTGAACTTATTGCTTTCCCTTATTACTGAATACAATTTCTTCTTTCATGTTCTTTGACACAGATCATCATCCAGTCTTCTTTTGTTTCCAGGTATCTTTGAAGGTCGATTGTTGTAGTTTTGTAAGATAGTTCTAGTTGAACTAATCCTCTGCCTCCTATTGGTCTGGGCACATACAGACGATCAACACCAGCCTTGGAATGATGCATGAAGTGGCAGGTGAGAAGCTTTCTCGTTTTGGTGTCCATTCGCTTAATATCAGATATGGTTCAGTTAAGTATTTTGAAAAGTGTATTATACCACAGATACAGCCAAATTGTTTATGGATGATATTTTGTTTTGTGAATTCAACTTGGTATTCAACATCAGACGCACACACCTGTAATATTCTTTTCTTATATTCTCCTTCATTTGGGTATGCTCTATTCCACCTCATTCGCTAATTCCTAGGTGCCTATAGTCTTCTTCGTGTAACAGTTCCTTAATCTTAGTGAAAAAATCTAGATCCATTGAGTGTGTTTCTGTAATTCTCCCTTTCTTTACTGTTACCTTTGCACATTTATCTAATCCAAAATCCATATATATGTCGTCACTGAAACATTTTACAGTATTGATGAGACTCTTCAACTCATTGTCGTCTTTGGTAAAGATTTTGAGATCATCCAGTATGTGATTAGATATTTTCTTGTTTACTTTGTATACGTTGCCATTATTTTTTTTAGTTCATGCGAAAGGAGGATTACAAACAGATGAAGTGACAAGGGTCCCCGTGAAAGATTCCTGGTCGGATATTCAGGCGGTTCGAAGTGGCAGTGCCTTTGGTGTGAGTTAGATATAATGTGGTTTTCTACATTCCCATGCTATTTTTATGGACATTTACTATCACCTAGGAGATTTTGTACATTTCAAAGGCTTTATGGTAATCCAAGAGTGCGGCACACTGTCAAATGCTTTATGGTAATCTAAGAGTGTGGCACACTGTAAAAGGCTTTAAGGTCATCTATCCAAGCAGTGCTGATATTTCTACATCTTTTCCTGCATTTTCCAGGATCATTTTGTCTCTCAATAGTTGATCTTCGCAACGATATGAACCTCTCCGACATTCCTTCTGTTTCAGGGAAAGAATGTTGTTTTCATAGAGAAAAGACTAAGTATAGTTCACCAAGACAGACGTTATTATTATTATTATTATTATTATTATTCTGTTGATTTCTGGTATCTACTCATTTATTTCCGGGTCGCAACTAGAGATCTAAGGTCAGAAATGGCATCATGACATTTTCCACTCAGCATTTTCTGAGAAAAAAACAAAAAAAAAACAAAACAAAAAAAACCCCAAGTTCACACATATTTTACACAGATAAAGCCCTTCGTAATGTGTGAGTTATACTTGTGAGTACATTTGTTTGCATTTCTTTAAGGCATGGCCTACCATGAATCGTTTCATTGAGTCTATCGAAACCTTTTCCAATCAACCCGAGGCCTCCAACTACAACTGGAATTATTGATGGCCTCGTGTGCCATATTTTTGACCTTTCCACTTCAAGATATTTCTATTTTGGTAGTGTTTTTTTTAATTGTTATTTTTATTTTATTTCCTTTGATTTCTGGGTGTATACTCATTTCTTTCTGGGTCCCGACCAGAGACCTAAGGTCAGAAATAGCATCATGACATTTTTCACTGAGCATTTTTTGAGGAAAGAAACAAAGAACAAAACAAAAAACAACACCTAAGATCACCCATATTTTACATAGATAAAACTCTTCGTAAGGTGTAGGCTGTATTTGTGAAATACATTTTTTTTTTATCTTTTTGACTTATCTAATAACAATCCCTTCAATGAGTCTATTGGAATCTTTTTCAATCAATCCGTAGGTTCCAACTACAATTGGAGTTGTTGATGTCATCATGTACCACATTTTTGAGAGTTCGATTTCAAGTTCCTTGTACTTTGATTATTATATTATTATTATTATTATTTCAATCAAATTATTTCCTATTACATTGGCAATTGGGTAATACTATGACTTAAAAATAGAACTGTTCTCTTCCAGCCTTAAAAAAATAATAAAAAGCAAACTTTTGGCGGTTTTGTTGATTCTTGAAATATGTAAAAAATTTTTTTCCAAATCTCTTATTACTGAACTTAGGAATAAAAGTCTCATAAAATTTTTTTCTGGTAGGCAAAAAAAAGAAAATGAAGTTACTTTGGTCTAACAATTAAAATGATTGTTTCCTTTTTTGGTTTAGTTCAAAACAAACACTAGCTTCTCGTCTTACGTGCAAAAATGCGTCTTGTTTTTAGTGGCTCGCCCGTAGGAGTTGTCAAATTGTGATGGCGGGAAAACGGTGGGGGAGATAGAGAAAAAGTGAAAGAGAGGGACAGGCAGATAACAGAGAGGAAGTGGAGGAGTGAGAGAAAAAGAAAATAAATAAAAGACAGGAATATGGATATAAAAGATGTGAATGGAAGATAAAATAAGAGAACTAGAGAAAGAAAAAAGATAAAAGAAAATAAATATAAATGATTTGAAAGAAGGAAATAATATAAGATTGATAGAGAGGGAGAGAGAGAGAGAGAGAAAGAGAAGGAAAAAGAATAAGAGAAAGAAACATTAATATAAAAGATATCGATTTGCGATGGGGAAGGAGAAATAGAGTAAGTGTGTTTGTGAGTGCAGGAGAGAAAGAGAAAGAGAAAGAGAGGTATATATTATCACTTTATGTCATTAGTGGATACTCGTATTTGAGTAGACGCTGCGTTTATTTATTAAACAGTATATTTATTTATTTCCATCTACCGGCCTGAATGTTCGTAAAGTTATATTACAGAAAACTTTATGCTCTCTTGCAGGATTCGAACCTGCGCCCTCCCTTGGGCTGAGAGAACTATCGTCAAATCCGATAGGCTCCGACTACCAAGGCCCAAATTGTATCTTGGATCGAAACTTCTTTCATCATAAATCGCATAAGATTGCTCATCTCTGTATAGTTTCCCATCTTGTATATCTAAGCAGAAGTAAAGAATCTTTTGTCGATACACAAATTTATCGAGAAACGTAAACAAAAAGTTACAAAGCAAAAAAACTGGACTCCTATCAATAAACTGCATTCAACATTTAATATTGTCCCCTCTGTTCACTATGATGGCGAGAAGAATAAGTTTCTTGCAGAAGTAAGCACCAAATTTACTGCATGCCTGCTGGCAAATCACCTTAAGATTGATCGGCACTCCTCTGATGAGAGAGAAAGAGAGAGAAACTTCATGAAATATCGAGGAATGTACAATGTGATAAACATAGCAATGTTATTGGTCCTGACCTGGCATCTCGGCTTCAGTCATTTTCTCAACAGCGTAATGTAGCTTCCCTGTGTCCTTTCTATAAAAACTTTCACAGTGACTGTGGTACCTCGACATTATGAATTTAAGCGAACTACTAGATTGGCAATTAGGCCTAATCAATTTACAGTTGAATTGGCTAAGATGCAACTGTAAGCTCAATGCTAACAGTTTCTTTTTTCGCACTTCTCTCTTCTAGAAATCATTTCCGGCTCCATCCTTTCCAGCCAACTTTAATCTTAAAAGATTTAAATGCAATGTCAATCGCTATCCACTGTCCTCGTGATTACACTTTTTGATTTCGCTCATTAGTAATGTTTCTGTTTCTAATTTTTCCACACCCAGTAAACCCTTGTGTCTTAGTGGCTTTATTGACTTGCATGGGAAGAACTCGATTAATATATATATGTGTGCGTGTATGTGTGTGTGTGTGCGTGCAATAAAATATAGTTTAATGTATGCTATATTTATAGGGCAAAAGTGCTCAATATTCGCGATAGAGCGCGTGTAAATGCTTCAAGCACAAAACAGACTGTTCCTACTAGGTTTGTTTTGTTTTGTTTTACGGTATATCAACCTCAATAGGTTATTTAATGCCGACAAGATTTTTATTGCTGGTAATATTTTTTTTCAAAAAATGTATTGCTGGTAATAATTTTTGTTTACAAAGTAAAACCTATTTTTACACTTTCATAGTGTTTTGACCCCAGTCTGGGGGTTAACTATTTGCTCATAGCTGGGACCCTAACAGGTGCTACCACAGCGGGTCAGGGTGGACCTGGGAACACCAGAAATTAAGAGGTGGTTCCACGCTCCTCAGAATATCCTGATCAGAGGTCTTGCTGCCGGATGTAGTTTATCGTCATACCCAGGACCAGGACGGCCCTACTAGGTGTTGAAATTAGTGTCCACACTATATTTTTACATATTGTTGCACCGGCCTCTAACACAAGGGAATTACACCGGTTCTCACTATATATAGTGCCAGTAATACCTACCCGGTGTAAGCAGCGACAGTACTACAACTGCCTATATGAGTAGTACCCGTTTCCTACCTTTGTATCTGTGATGTTAAATACACTTGTTCTTTAAAACCAATTTCGACTTGATTTTCTTATTTTTACTATTGTGCCACGACACAAAACACACACACACACACACACACACACACACACACACACACACAATTTTAATTATATATATATATATATATATATATATATATAGTCGACTCTCCTGTCGAAATTCGACGTATGAGGGTCAAGCAGATCAATTTCCAGAAACCGACAACCTTTAACGGACAACACATGAGATTTTGATTATAGTGGTGAAGGCTTCGTGCAGAACCATCCACACTTTTTTGAAAGGACGAATACAGAGACCTGGTGCACTAAGTGCCACAAGGTTCCCAAACGACCCTCCACAGGTTTTGAATTCAGAGTTGTCCTTCTGCTAGACCAGTTGCCATCAAAGGCTATAGAACCCAGTCTGTCCTGCTATTTTACCCATAGCTGGAGGGGACATATATATATATATATATATATATATATTATATATATATTATATATATATATATTTATTTTTAAATCTGTTTTTCGATGTCGATAGAAAGAAAGCTAGAACGGTGTAAAACCAGTCAAATATGAAGACTAATCGGACTGTTTTGTTTGTTATAGTCCTTGTTTTTATTTTTTTTTATTTTTTTCCAAGATTTCGGTGACAGTCTCTTCTAAGTTCCGCGTCCTAAAACAGCCAATCAAAAAGCCGATTTTTTTGTTGCGGTTGTCCGTCCAGTTTTAGAGGAGGAGCGGGTCACCGGACAAGACGCGTATTCCGTTGGTAAAATTTTTTGCTTTCCTTTTGAAACGAATTTCTCGTCATGTGAGCAGTCGTAAAAGAGTACTCCACCCTCTCTCTACCTGGCCCCGTTCCTTGACACCCACTCTCGTTCCGTCAGTTTTCCGTGTTTCTTATTTATCATCAGGGTTGGACGGATAAATGAAATGTTTTACTTATGACTATTGTAAGAAACCTACCAGAAACCAGTGATGACGACGTTGCTTTTAATTTTGAGATAGAGAGAGATAGAGACAGAGAGACAGAGAGACAGAGAGATAGATAGAGAGAGAGAGAGAGTTATGAGTGCAAAATGTTTTAATTTTTAAGGCCATTTAATGGAAATATATATTTTGGTAGGGATTTATAAAGAAGAATTATAAAAACAAATATGAAAACGGCATTTTCCCAAAGCTCTGTAGTCCTGGGTATGACGATAAACTACATACGGCAGCAAGGCCTCTGATCGGGAGATTGGAGGTTTTGAGGATTAGGGAATTGTTACTGTTCCCAAATTAACCCTGACCCTAAAGTGGAAGCACCTGTTAGAATCCTAGCTACAGGCAAATATTGAACACTCAAACAAAACACTATGAAATCATAAAAATACATTTTATACTAAAAATACCAGCAATATATTTTTATCTAAAAAATGACAATGATACCTCTTTAGAGTAAAATTACCAATAACCTCTTTACCACCAAATGACCAACAATACATTTTATGTTTAGTTGAAGCTATAAAATGGTGTTTAAATTATTTAGATTTCGGCATTAAGTAACCCATAGAGATGTTCATATGCCGCTAAACAAAATCAACCAATCCTTATTTCTTTGTAAAACGGAGAAACTCATAACGTAAGTTCGAATACAAGCTTATATTTTGTCTCTCTTCAGAGAAATCAGTTTCTGTCGGAATTTCTGGGACGAGGAGTTTTCCTTATTCATGTTATTTATCTAATGTCCTCATCTTTGTTGTTATTATCGCAACGTTCCGACCGTTGCACTCCCCTCCCTTCTTCAGTTGCTTGTCAATCCAGATAACTTTCAGGGAATTTCGAACTGGACACTTTATTAAATCTACGGGCATAGATTGTTCTCGGTTTAATCCTCAATTATCGTAAAACTAATTCCACCAAGTACGGATCAATAGCATGGGAGATTAAAGCGGTAGTTCGTAATTTTGGTGACGCTAATTCTGAAATCCGATCCTGGGCCGGGTAGTGGAGACTCAGATTTCAATATAAAGAGGACAACCAATAACTGAGCACTACTGACAAGATATCTATAGACATGCACAGTGGAACGAGAACATTCTGCCGTTGTAGATTTAATAAAGGGTCCAGTTCGAAATTCTTTGAAGGTTATTTGATTGGTAAACGCATGAAGAAGTTGCCATGGAAATAGCGATATATTAGCAATACTCTTGCGGCATTTTGCCTGTGGGGAAAGGAGTGGTAGGGTGGAAAACTATTTATCATTCACAAGGTCACGTAAACGCTTTTGAAATCTCTCAAGTCTGAAAAGGGAGAACTGGACAGCTTCAAGTCAGGTATGTCAGCAATTCACGATTTTCTGCTCGATTTGACAGAAAAAAAAAATAATTGCTTCACTGAGAAACGACCAAGAATCATCAAGAAGCTTTTCTCACAAATATCTGTTTGGTGATTATATCAGATGTTGGAAAGTAAATGGGCCGAGAACCTTTCAGCACCACCTCGTATACATGGTGATTTTAGATGTGGCACAAGCCCGAAGGTATGGGACACTCAGTGAGGATCGAACTGACTACTTAGTCGTAAATGTTTTAGCGCAACCTCGTATGTATGTATGTCAGGAGAATGGAAGGTGGAAGATGAGAGAATGCCTAAGCAATTGTTTTACAGAGAGCTTTCTCTTGGTAAGCGCCCCAAAGACAAAACCAAGAAACATTTTCAAGGATTTTAAAGACAATCTGAACAATTTTGAAATTAGTGTCAAAGACTGTGTAAAAGTAAGGGAATAAGGTCTGGGTAAAGAAAGTCTGTGACAGCTGCAATCAAAACGATTCAAAAGCATTTGAAGTTGAAAAGTACTGTAAGATGTCAAGGGTTACGAAGTGTCAGATAAAACTATTAAGAGGAGAGAACAATAAGAACCAAAAACAAGAAGATAACGATTGAGACTGCATTAAAATTTTTGTACATCAAAATTGACTGAGAAACAAGAAGCCGGAAGAGATTTCCATAAGCGAGAAGCGCAACAGAAAAAAAACTGTTAGCATAGAACTTTATGTTTTTGTAATGTCAACGAACACTCGTTGCCACTCTTGCAATGCCAACGAATACTCGTTGTCACTTTCGTAATGCTCGTTGTAGTAGAGACTTTATAATCGCAGTTACAACTGTACTAACGCCATTGAACAATACTAGTGTAAGACGCCTTCTAATATCACACTTACTAATAGTACTTGCTCGAATAGTAACTCGTATAGTGATCCGAATAGAGAAATAGTATAGTGAATAGAGTAGAGAATAACGAGCCAAATAGTAATAGAGGATAGAGTAGAAATAGCGATTCGAATAGTAATAGAGGATAGAATAGAACAGGGATCAATCTAGACGACACACTACTTCCTATATGAAATCTGTTAGATTATTAGAAAAAAAAATTAAATGAATTTAAAATTCTCTGCATCTCTAGTTCGTGCGCATGCGTAGTCGCATCAACGTAACAAATTTATTCCGATGAAGTCCGAAAGGACGAAACACGTGACACGAAAATTTTCGTCATACATTTCCCCCATTATATATATATATATATATATATATATATATATATATATATATTGGGGAAAAAAGTGTGTCAAAGTGGAAAAAAATGTTCGTGTGACGCGTTTCATCCATTATCTATTATTACAATGTGGGATATTTAACAACAAAAGTGATGGAAACGTAATGAAAAAGAAAAACTCTAAACGAAATCGGCTAGATTATAAGATTATATATCCAAAACATATATTGAATTACAAAAAAATCATTTAAATTTTAAATTCTTAGCGTCTCATTTTCTTCGTGCGCATGCGTAGTCGCATTAAAGTTTCTAATGGACGAAACGCTTTACACAAAAACCGTTTCCACATTCTCATACTTCTCTCCCTCGACTTTTCTTAACTTTGATGATCGTGAGAGAGCCAGTGTTTCAACGCGATATGGTCGTAAACCATTCTGAGGAATAAAACCAGATATAACAAAACAGAATGAACACAGTATAGAAGACAACATAGAGGTCTCTGTTTAACATTCTCTGGAGGTTAACAGGTATCCAAGATGAGATAGTAGGTTCTTTGGGATAAAAAATGAGTGAAATAATCTTTGAATAAAAAAAAAGAAGTTTTTAAAATATCTTTATACTTTTTCCAACACCGTAAGTTGCAACAAAACGAAAACATTAACCTAAGAACTCAAGTCATGTTCTTAAAAAGCCTCGTCAGATAGGGAGCCTCGTGTGCATTCAAATGAATAGCAGCAAACTGGTACAGAATATCTAAACGGTCAGCCGTATTCAAGCTCATGTCAATAATTGAAAATGGCTTCAAGGGAATGAAGCATGTAAGTCTTAGTGAGGACCAGTCTTCTTTGAACCTTGTGGTCTGGCGCTACACAATCACAAATAAAGAACTGTCCAAAATAACAGAAATCACATCACTTGAGGACTTCCAACAGCAGCAACAGTCAAAATCAATAGCACTTGGCGACTCGGCTTCCATGTGTCTTTTCTATAAATACTTTTATGATGATTGTTCCGATGAGTTCTTCCCTATGGTACCTAGACTTTATGAATTTAAGTTTCTTTTCTCGCCCTTCCCGCAGACTCTCCAGTTAACTTTGATCTTCAAAAATGCAGATGCAATGTCAATCGCTATCTACTGTCTTCGTTATTACTCTTCTATGGTTATCGCTACTTAATAATATTTCTCTTATTCTTTTACACTCAGTAACCCTTGTGTCTTAGTGGCTTTACTGCGTGAGGTGAATTTGATTAAAAAATGTAACTCAATAAGAAAATAATTCTACAATCAAGATGATGACGTTTCTCACTACTTTAAACAAAAGGTTAGGAAGGAAACCCTCCTCAATACTGGGAAGAGCGATAACAGTTGAGTTGAAAAACCTATTCTCTTGAAAAGTTGTTTTAATAGAAAGTAGCAATGGCTACTCGAACGTTTCCATAGAAGGAAATCACTAATATTAAAATTAGCATTACCAAATAAGGAATTCATATTGATTTATATTTATGATGATAATTTGAATAAAGATGGCGATATTAATAAAACTTTTACTACTTTGAAATGTTGTGAACAAAAGTTATGAATAAAATAATTTAAATTAACATTTAAATATTTGATTTAAAAACAGATGGTCAGAAAACTCCGTTTATATATTAAACACAGAAATGTATGAAGAAGCGAAGAAAGATAAATTTCAACGTAACCACTGGTTGAATAAAGCAGTTTCTGTAATCCTGAAAACAAACCCAAACTGAGCCGATCTCTCGTCACAAGCGCGCACCCCCCACTCCACGGCCAAAAATCAACACAAAAGTGACACGAAAAGAAGCATTTTTGTATAGAATTTTGAAAAAAAAAAGCAAACATTGGTTTCACCTCCACGCCACATAAAATGGAAACAAAACAATAGCAAAAGAAAAAGAAAATGTTGAAACGTTGACTCAAGCGAAAAAAGCGAAAACGAATAGAGGCTTTGAAAATGTAAAAAAAAAACACAAACAAATATGGAGAAATGCCAATAGCTAAAGTCAGACAAGCACGTAGAGATAGAGATAGAGAGGTGAAAAGAGAGAGAGAGAGAGAAGGAGGGAGAGAGAAGGAGGGAGAGAGAAAGAAGGAGCGAAGGAGAGAGAAATAAAGAGAAGAGAAATAAAACAACTTTTGCTTGGTCTTATAAAGGGTGTTTCATTAAGACGGATCAAAGTCAGCAGTAAATAAATCAGTGTTATTGGTGAAAATTTATTTATTTCTCTATTCGATCATGTTATTTAAGTCATGACAATTATGTGTGAAAAATAATATCGCCCTAGGCTTTGGCGGCACACCACCACTCGATGGTCATAATTTTTGATGACGTCTCTGAATAGCTGCTCCTCGATCTCACCAATATGCCTTATTATCTCGTTCTTCAGCTGTTTAATTGTTGGCTTGTTGGCATAGACCTTACTTTTGAGATGATCCCAAAGGAAGAAATCTAATGTCGTCAAGTCGCACGATTGTGGTGGCCAATTGACATCGCTGTTTCGAGAGATGATGCGACCTGGGAACTTCTCATTGCATTTCTGTTTGAACGTTCATTTTCATAATAGGCTTCGATAACTTTAACACGTTGTTTGATTGTTGATCTTTCCATGGTTAGAATTGCCAAAGACTTAAGTTGTTAAATCTGAAAGAATAATAAAAAAAAATCATTAGACGCTTAAACTTAATTCATATTTAAATCGGTCCAAATTACTGGAACATCATTTAGATTAGGTGTAAGAGAATACATAAATAAAATGTTAAATTTTTAAAGTACAAATTAAAAAAAAAATGAAAAGAAAATGAACAATTCTATTTCACATTAAGGCCCTCTCCACCTCTCCACAACGGATGTATTTCCTTAAAATGTATCAGTGCGACAGGTAATTAAAAAGGTACATCTGAAAACATTACTCTTTGCATTTTAAGTCCTCATCTGAATCATCTTGTAATTCGTTCTCTTTCCAAACTGTTACAGATATCCCTTATTAAAACAATCAAATTATGTTAACTCACCAAATGTGAATAGAACTTGTGGTCAATGGCTTGAGTCTTGCTATGGCTCTTTCTTTAAGAAAGATCCAGGCTTTAATTTATTTGATAAAAGTCATCATTTTTAACGAGAATTTTATATGGCGAGCAACCGTTTTAAACATTTACTAATATTCATTCATCATTTATTCAGTTAGCTCATTTTGCGCCGCCGCTGTGGTCACCACTCCCCGTAATTCACAGTGACATTCAAGGCAAAATAGTGCAATGACTTGCCGGTTCCTTTTGTCCTGGGGATGTTAAGGTTTCCTCCTCTCCTCTCAGAATTTCCTCCGCCTACTGGTAAAACCGCTGACCCCTGAGGCGCAACTCTTACGTCCAGGCTGGCGACGGGCCGATGGCCGCTTGGTACAGGTGGGTTGGAAAGAGGCGTTCCCCTTTCACCGGTCGGGTCGGGAAACCTTTCCGACTACCCTCACACAGTTTAACCGACAGGTCAGTGCCTATGTGATTTCTTGGAGCTACATGTGAGAGTTGGATGCCAGCCGTGGACCAATACTGTTCCGCATCCCAATTTAATGGAAGGTCTACTGCTTCGCTGCAAAGGTACTACAACTGACGATACACCCCATACACGCGTTACTAATAACTTGACGCAAAAATACGGCGTTGGTTTAAGCGTTCACAGCAAGGACAATGGAATCATCGAAACGAGTTCAAATTCTTGCTGAGTTAGTTTTGGCTGACTTCACCTAATGCCCTTCGGAAAGGCATGAATCCACCCCTTTGTCCCTTTAACGCATGTAGGACATTAGTTCCCAATTCTGGTCCCATAGGAGTTTATACAAGTTTCTGGGAAAGGCAATATGGAGATTAGATATGGCACAAGGCCGAAATTATGGGGCATCCAGTGAGTATCAAACTCACTACCAGTCGTAATTGATCTAGCGAGACAAGCTTATTAACCATTACACCATGTCGAAGTGTCCAAAGGATTTTAAAGCCTAGCTTAGATGTGGCACTAGGTCGAAAATATGGGGCACTCAGTGGGTATCGAACTCACTATTCAGTCGTAAGCGAGATGTTTGCTAATCATTGAACCTCGTCGAAGTGCCCATTAAATGGCTGTTTGCTACCTGGAGAAACATAGCATTTAAAAATATGGACATTTAAATACATATATATTTTAAAACCTGACATTATTTCGTATCGCTATAAACACGTGTGTAGCCACTAAAAATAACGTTTTTGATACGAAGAAAGAATGTCGGATTAAAAAAATCCAGTAAATATAGATTTCGAACTGTTCCTGCGAGAGATATGCATTCTTTAAGTAGATAATTAAGACCTACCACGTTAGGATTTCCGGTGGTCTAATTGGTAAGGTCCATTTCTACTGTTGGAAAAAGAAGATACAAGTTCGATTTTGGTCGGGCGGTATATTATTTGGTAGTAAAAATTTTCGATTTAGAGGCTGCTTGATATTAATGCCATTGTTTAAAATAATAATTGTCAACTCAAAAATGTGTACCCATAAAAAATAATGTTTATATTAAACATAAGACATTGATAATTTCTTTAATATGTTGATATCTTTCGCCTCTGTTTCAGGGAACTGATATTTATATCACTTGGAAGAGTTGTCCATTTATTCATAAAATTGCAGCCAAAGCTGGTTATCATCCTAGAAAATCCATACCAGGAAGCCGACGAGCTGATCGGAGAACCCTTCGTCTCATTAAAAATCACCTGTTCCTTATATTACGAATGACAAGAAATAACGGACTCGTCATGAAAATCGGGACCTTTGCAAGTCCAAGGTAGAGTCATATCCTAGAATTACGAGACCAACGGAGATGACCGTTCATAATTATATCATGACATGGAAAAAAACGCGATGCCTAGTAATAATTTCTTTAGATTAGCATATTTTTTTGTTTTCGATAAGAAATAACGGGCGCGTATGGGATTTGAACGCGGGAGCACTTGAACCGTAAACGATAGTCTTAGACCTAAACCAACGACAAACGCCTGACCTAATGATAAATGATTCTGTTTAGTAAATGTTGACGAATGAAAAGAAATAACGGACTCGTCTAGGATTTGAAACAGGACCTCTTGCTGCCTGACTGATAATCAAGCTCCAAGAAAACAGGAAGGAAATGATCTTGCCCAAATAGAAATCCTTCAGTTTAGTAAAATTTGACAAGAAATAAGCTCGTCCAAGATTCGAAACCGGAACTTCTCAGGAGTTAAGCGAGTATTAAAAATCCATTCCTTTCCCCAATTAACAACATAATCCAAGTTATTTTTTTAGATCAGCTACCAATTTTACCTTATTAAATCCACCAAACTTATTATTATGACTATGTTTATCGTCATAGCAACATTCTTAGGGATCATTTAATGCCGAAATTTAATTTTTCTTGAGATCTTTGAAGCAATAAAAATATGGTATATGTTATTCTATTTTCACAACTGAATTCATGGTACATGATACTCAGCTTTTGTGCATATACATATTTGCGTGGACAGAGGCGGTAATATGCGTGTTTTTGAAGTTATATTTTGGAATATTTTTGATTTAAGAAATTATAGGATATTATATGGATTAATGTCATGAAAGAGGTTTCATGTTGGTTGATTTTATTTAGCAGCATATCAACCTCTATGGCAGGAGTGGGAAAACTTTTCAGTGCACGGACCATACTAAAAAGTTCACAATAGTATATTAACCCTTCTGAACGGCATTCTCCCGCTCATACGCACACCTGCGGGAAGAAAACAAAATGCTCACAACATTATTTGGCGTTGCTTGGTAACTTTCTCTTTCAAATTTACTAACATTTGGCGGGCTGCATGAATTCTTTTCGCGGGCCGTAGTTTATCGACCCCTACTCTATGTGTTATTTAAAGCCGAAATGTAAATATTTTGAACACACTCTTATGCCTGCAAGTACAGATAAAATGTATTGTTTGTTATTTTTTTTTTAAATAGGTATTGTTAATAATTCTACTATAAATAGGTATTTTATACTTTCATAGTTTTATCTTTATTTGGGGGTTCACTATTTACCCATAGCTGGGAGCTGTACAGATTTTTTTTTATCAATGTGGACCTAGGAACAACTGCAATTAAATGGTTGTTCTATGCTCCTCGAAACCTTCCATTTTCCAATCAGAGGCCTTCCTACGGATGTAGTTCTTCTTAAAACAGGATTAAATGGATGTGTCATCAGCATAGATATGGATTAAAAAGAAAATCGCCAAACGAAAGGAAATCAGAAATCATATATTATGTTATATTTTTTTTATCTCGATTTGATTGTAAGCAAATCCAAACACTGAAATTCCTATGCCATTGCTAATGATGTAAAGATTAACATAATTCCCCAAACTTTGACACTCATCATTCCAAATGCAAATAATCCCTAAGAAAAGAAAGCAAAGAAAATCAAAATCAAAGGATGTTTCGAATCGCTCTCAGGCCTCTAGCTGCGAGTGCATATACCTAGAGTCGACCGCAACAGGTGCGAACGTTTAGCCAGTTTGATTCGGGGCTTTTCTCTGTACAGGTCCGGATGTCACATTAGGTGATAAGACTTGGGTAAACACCGGGCGCTGATCGCATTTTACGTCCTGAAGCCGAGTGATGACGCGACTGGGGATGGAGGAAGTAAAGGGAAGGAGAGGAGGAGGAGAAAGTGGCGGAGGGGAGAAGGCGGAAGTAGATATTCTTAGATGAAATAAACGAAAAGACTGAGAGAGAAAGAGAGAGAGGGAGGGAGAGAGAGACGAGGAATAAATGAGTGAAAAAAAAAAGGAATGAGAGAAAGATATATATATATATATATATATATATATATATATATATATATATATATATATATATGGAGAGAAAAAGAAATAGAGAGAACAAAAAGAGGGAGAAAAATACGTCGTTGGTCTGAAATGACGAAAAAAAATAGAAAACGCATGAGAAGGGACATAATTAGGGGGAAAAAAAAGAAAATAGTTGAACGAGAATAGTTTTGGGTGCATATGGGTGGGAAGCGTGTATAGTAAATATAGGAGGGGTGCTGAAAACGAACGAATAAGAAAGTAACGTGAATTGAGAGGGGAAGTAAAGATAAGCCTTAAAGAAAGAAAATTAAATAAATAAATAAAAATGGAAGTAGTTGATGCTAGAGATGAGTTGATTGGTCCCCAGAAAGTTTCTGACCTTCAAGACATCTTTACAGAGTAAGAATTTTGGCGTTCGTCTCCTCTTCATATGACAAATAGGTAAGCATCTGACTGAACTCTCACTTCCACCCCCTCCTCCCTCGTTGTGGAAGGCTGGGCACTGAGACCCTAGATAAGATATTTGAGGATCGGACAAATTACAGGGAGAGAGAATCTCATGACTTTTCGAAAGTAAAACTGAAAATAAAAGTCCTCGGCCAATTGTTTTTATGATAATCATCCCCCTCCATAAATAAACAGCAAATGCATTTATGGATAGAGGAACGAAACTGCAAAGCACATCACAAGCTGATGTAACATACCGAACGAAAGGAAAAGAAAAAGACAGAGGTGGAACGGCAATACACTGAGAACTGTGCAAATGCTTTTTATACTCTATGTATACTCAATACAAGACCCCAAAGCTACTCAAGGTAGATGTTACAAAATGAGATTGTTTTAAGTGTGTACAAATATAGTGAAAGAAGTACATATAAGGATATGTAAGATAAAGTTAACGTAAGGGGTTAAGATTGTATTGATCGGGAAAGTATCGTTTTGGGAGTCGGTTTCACTAATTAACAGTTCTAAGGAAGAAGCTGTCTGAGTGGAACATTCTCCTTACTAATGGAATACACAGGGAATAACGATGAATCGACCATGTGTACGTGGCTGGGCGGGTCCCAGATCTAAAGATCTGGAGGGGTTGAACTGAGAAATAAAGCTGGTCATAATGACAGAGTAGCGAGAGGCTTGGAACGTTTCGAGTGTGAGGAAAGAGATTGTAAGGTGGAAATAATCAATCACAAAGCTACGTAAACGCCTTTGAATTCTGTCAAGGCTAGATAGTGAAGATTGGGCAGCGCCAGCCCATATATGGCAGTAATATTCCATTTTTAGTCTGATCTGATTCTTGTAAGAATAGAGCATGGTAGGAGGAGTCTGGTGCTTTCTGAAAAGTTACAAGGAACCTAATATCTTCACAGGCTCTTTCAAAATCGATCGTATATACGTGTTCCTTTTGAGGCCTGAAGCTAGCTTGAACCCAACAGGCGTTCCAGAAAAGGATCCTCATTGAGTGTATAACTGCTCATCATGAGTGAAAAATAAAACCCTCAGGGTCTGCTCTGTGAGGATGAAACGTTACTTAGTTGACGGTGGAGTAATAAATAGCGGCTCGGATTGAGGAATTGGAGAGCCGTTCGAATTCCAGTCGAATCCATTGCATTCACTTACGTGCTATTACCCTCGGGAAAGATATTAATCCTATTCTTCTCCTCCAAGCTATGGCTAAATAGCAGGATAGAATGGGTTCTGTAGCCTTGGATGGAAACTAGTCTACCATAGAAAGAAATGGCAACCTACTGCGGGAAAAAAATCTCCCTTGTCAGTCATGTATCGAAAGATACATGATCGCCTACGCGTGTATCACGCATGGCACATAACTGAGTGACGAAATGTTACAAACCAATTCTTCTCCCATTGAGCTATGCGAGCAAAGTCAGAGGAGAGATCAGCTGCCGGGCTGTGCACATCTAGATTTGTATTTGTTATAGTACACCTATAAACCGTGGTATTATATATTTAAGTGCACTTATAAACTGTGGTATCATATATATTTACTAATAAACTGATAATGATACTATGAATATATGTAGGATAGATAAAGACTTGAAGTAGTTACGATTGTAGTGGCATTTTGCATCTCATAATCCGTTCCACACTGTAAAAATTCCGTCTAAGTGGAACTTACCCCTTACAAATAGAATATGAAGTGGATGAAGATGAGTCACGAAAATAGCGATGCAGTAGTGAGAAGCTAGTAACGTTTCGTTTGTGGGGAAAGTGGCTGTAGAGTGGAAAACAATTCATCATCTAAAAGTCCGTGTAAAAGTTTTTGAACTCTGTCGACGCTGGAAAGTAAGGATCGGGCAGCCCAGGTCAAAATGCAACAGCAAAATTCCATTTTTGGTCTCTTCTTGTCTCCTATGGAGACATAGCATCGTAGAAGGATCAATTTCCAGGTGTCTTTAGTGATGGATCGTATATATGAGCTCAACCTGTGGAATGGGGCGAGCTTGAGTCCCAACGGACGTCATAGAAAAGAGAGCTTATTGAGAGTACAACCGTTCATCATGGCTGGAGAAAACTCGGTGGCTGATGAGATGTTGGATCATTACTAACTTTGGTTTTCGAGGTGACGAATGTTACAAGACAGATCCTCCACCATTAAGCTATATGCACCAGCTCAGTAGGGAAATCAACTGCAAATCTCTGCACATCTAGATTTTTTTGGAGGTTCACTTATAAACCAGAGTATTGTGTACATATATATTTACTAATGATCTGATAATGTTCTTAGGAAGATATTTAACACGAAGCAGAAAAAGGGTAGGCCCGAGGAGATAGCCTTGGGGGTCAACTGTGTTGAACCTCATGACCTCCAGAGGAATGTTCATTAATAACTTTAGAATCAATGATGGAAACAAATGGTATAAATAGAAATTATAATTAAAAAATAAAATACTTTGAAATTTCGACACTCAGACAGATGTCCCCAGTCAAGAAGACCGCATCTCAGTGATTCTCAACCGCCGTGCTCCGACACACGAGTGTGTCACGCGTTCTTCTTAAGTTTGCTGCGAAATATTGTTACGGCATAGATATATATATGTGTGTGTGAAATTAGTAATGGCACAGCGCTAGTATCTTACTGAATAAGCTGCAGAAATAGATGAATGGAAACACTAAAATAAAGTCTATAGTTGTGTCTGTATTTTTTTTAAATCTATGGTTTTATTTCATAACATTTAAATGTAAAACCTCTAAAAATTTTGCTAAGTGTGCAGTGATATTTTCATTTGTTCCTACGTGTGCCGCTGTTTAAAAACCTCGAGAAACACTGACCTATCTTATTGTAAACATTCAGAGGCTGTTTCAGATCAGAAAGAAAGTTATAAATAAATAACAGAAAAAAGAAAATACGAGAAACTTGTGCAAGAACTAAAAAAAGCTGTTGAAAAAAGGATTATGGTCGTGCTCATAATAACTGGCGTACTGGGAAGTGTGCCAAATAAAGTAAAAGTGATTGAAAGAAGAGTTAAGAAAGTTAAAAGAAAGGCAAGGTTAGAATTAGCAAAACAACAGTGGAAAATGCTACTTCAGAATGTGAATGGACATAACTCTTACCAACATCTTTTGTCGCTTTAACCAACGTTTTCTTCTTAGTTTTGTCCCAGTCTCTGTTCATCACAAAGCTTGTAATGTAAATTACACAATGTTTCCTTTTATCTCTCTTGCCTTCAATATATCCCGTTATTGTTCAGCCGTTTTTCCTTGATTATGTTCACCTGATGTTTCAACTGTTTTTTTCTGATTCTAATTGAAGTATTTTTTGCTTCCATTAACCATAAAAATCCCTTACATGTATATTCTGTGCATCCTTGTGTAGAACCAAATTTGTTCTGCCCAAGTCTAATCTTCATCGGTTAGGAAATTGTCCAGTATACATTGCCATAGAGAAGGATCAGTATTGCATAAAATTTGAGCACACTTTGATTTGTCACCAATATACTGTTCCTTAATACTTTGTTTAATTTCTCGAAAGCATTCTTCTGTTATCCCAAAGCGCCTTCGGTTTTCGGTGTTGTCCCTTTTGATGACGACTATTGTTAGTTGATCCCCAGTAATAATTACGAGAAAACCGACTGAAAACTGCATCCTGGGCTGTCCCTTTTGCTAACGACCATTGTTCCTCGATCTCCAGCAACAATTATGAGAACTGACGGGAATACAACCAAAGATAATGGGTATCATATGTCAAATTAATTACCTAGCTTATCACCTCCTAATGTCCTCACATAGAGTATATCTGTGCTCCTGTGTCTTTACTTGTTTTATCTATTTTGTATTAGAGCCAGTTGTTATTTTATTTCAGAGGTTTATATATATATATATATATATATATATATATATATATAAGAAAATACAGAAAAACAAAATTCTGAATATGCATTATTAATGTTAAAAAATAAGTCGACGTCGGACGTTTCGGTCTATTTAAGACCATCTTCAAGGACATTTTCATTTAAACATAATTAACATTATAACTTATAACAATTTAACACAAAGGACGATGGATATAAGAGCCCAACTAATTCAAACAGTTTGAATTAGTTGGGCTCTTATGTCCATCGTCTTATGTCCACATATTATTAAAAGGAATTAATTCTTCTTTAGTTTTTCGATGTCAAATATTCTCGATATTAGACATTCTCTTTTTTGTGTGTTAGCGACCCAAATGTCTTCCTTGAACTGGCAGTGAAAAAGTTTTTCATGAAGGGTAATAAAACAATTAAGACTGGTCCGAGAAAGGGTGAGAAAGATATCTATATTCTTATCTTTTAATGATCCCTGTGTTTTCTTAGATCTATTTCTATTTTTTGTGTTTTTGTCAGAATGCGTACGCATACGTATATTCCCTCTCCATACATACATACTGTCTTATTATAATGAATTAGTATACACATATGTACACATATACATACACTCACATACATACACATACATACACATACACACACTTCTTATGTTGTATAGGATTCGCGTGTGTATCCGTGAGCAGTTTTGTTCTTGTCAATATGTGTATATATATACCAATACGCGCATGTACATGCGCACTCCCTCTCTATACATACATACATACTGTCTTGTCAAGGAATTAGTATACACATACATTCACACCTATATACATAGATATATACATACATACACGCACACACACTCTTCCTATGTTGTGTAGGGTTTGCGCATAAAAGTGTGAGTGCATAAATCACATTTTGGGAGTTGCAGTTTGAATTTTTATTTATTATGAATGTCGTTTTGGGGTTTTCAAAAGTGTAGGAGTTTCCTTCTATAGTGATGTCACAAACCCCACATCTTTTGTTGCATTTTGTGACTCCGTGTGGTTAAATCTGATATATATATATATATATATATATATATATATATATATATATATATATATGAGATGAGAACGAATAGAGTACAATTTCGACGTTCGTAATATTTAATTTAAAAAGACCTCAATACAAAGTAGAGCAATATTTATTTTAGGATATTACAACAATAACATGTCAAAATCGCTACACAATTGCAGTCGTGTTTCGACGTGTATCACTGCATCTCATAAGGCGATTGTAAATTTGTACCGAGTGAACGATTGACAAGCGGTTGAATGGTCCAAAAATCTGTGAAATATTAGAGAAAGGACTACTTCCACTATTGGAAACCGATAAGATTGACAAGAATGTCTACCTTTTTCAAGAAGATGGAGCGCCATGTCATACGAGCAAAGCAGCAAAGACCTGGAAGTAATCGCAAGGAATCAAGTGTTAAAGTTGTTTAACTCAGATATTGAACGATGCAGTAGGGGGTTACCACGACTATTTTATTGCCAAGGAACTCACAAGGATCTGATTCAACCATTAACTCAAGTATTAAGATTGATCAGAAAATTAAATTAGTATCACTGAAATTTTCACAATGAACTTTTTCCCTGGTGCTTCGACTACATGAATTTAAGCGTACTACTAGATTGGCATCTAGATCCCACTCTTTTACTGTTGAAATATTTAAATGTAATCGCCACATCTCCTCCAACAGTTTATTTTCTCGAACTTCCTACCTGTGGAACTCACTTCCGTTTACTTGCTTTCCATAAAACTACAATCTTCAAAAATTTAAATGCAACGCCAATCGCCATTTTCTATCTTCTTGAGTCCCGTACTGCTACTTAATTATCATCAAACTGATCTCCAAAATCAGCCCGTTTTCTGAAAAAAATCACAATGTATTTTTAGGACAGTGATCCATTTCTTGAAGTTGATTGTTAAATCTGACATTGGATGAACAAGATTTAGACAAATGTTTTATTTTCAATTTACAGCCAAATATCAAAGCAGAATTTGTTAGATGTGTTTCTTTTTAAAATTTTGTAATTCTAAAAGAGAAACAAAATGACGCCCTTGTGTTATGCTGTATTCCATCACGTTCAGCAAAGCGACAGTGATCGCCAATGAGATATATCTGCCTTTGAGGTTTGGGGCCAACACGAATCATTCGAATGAACAGCGAATCATTTTGGCATAAATGTGCTTTATTATTTGTCACGCAAACATAAACCGGAAGTTAAAACCGACCGGAAACAAATTGTTAATCCTCAGTTTTTCTTCAAAGCTAATCATTTGCCCACAGTCACTCGTTTGCTCTGCAATTATCAAAGTATAATTAACCCGACAACGTGAAGGCCGGCGACTTTCTTTTTTGCCAATGGCACACCTTCAATAGTTCTCTAGTTTCAAAAACGATCAATCTGCTTAACTCAGATATTAATTGAAAACTTGAACCAGTTAAACCATGTGACATGATCACTTGCCGATGCACTAGACTTTGGTAAATTTCTCTCTTTCAAAACTGTGTATAATTCAGTAGAACGTTTAGCGAATATGGCTCTCCACAACTTCACATCCTTAGTAGGTCTTAGCAATGTTTATCTTTTTACTCTCTCTTCAACTCCCTGTTCTATCAATCATTGACACAAGATTCTTAAGTGACGCAGTTTCTCTTTGTCTTTCATGTCTTCAATATGTCCCGTGAGTGACACATTTTCCAAGTCCCTCTTTGCTCATTATATAAACTAGAAATTTCAACTGTCTCTGATTCTAAAAGGTATCTTTTTCGTTTTAATTTTAATTGAAACTTCCTTGTTGCTCACATGTTGCGTTCATGGTATTCTCAGCATTCTTCCGGAGAATCGACATCTCTGTGTCCTCAAGTCTCCTTTTTATATGTGAGGAAATTGTTCAGCATTCACTTCCTATTCATATTGCAAAACAGTTGAGCATTCATTTCTTTGTTTCTAACAATATGTTCCTGTTTATTAATACCTTGCTTACGTTTTGGAAGGCATCTTCATTTGTGAAAATATAGTAATATACATAATTATGCGCCTGCAAGAGCATTTTAGCTCGTTAATCTAGAAGTATGATTCTCTTTCAAGATGTGTGAGGTTTCCGGTTAAAAAGTCAGACAAGCCAGTGTTTTATCTTTCGACAAATTATGCTAAGCAAAAGAATATATAAATGCACTTAGCGTGCAACAGTTTCGCTCGTCAGTCTAAGAGCATGATACTCGATTTGGCTGGGTAAGGTTCCGGGTTCAAATACCAAGAGGGATCATTGTTATTCGTTAAAATAAAAGTACAATAATTTATAGTAAGAATTCGCAAACAGCTGTCTTGTTTTTGGTCAAGGGGCAAGATTCTTGATTTGGTGTGTTATATCCCAGATTCAAAATAGAATTTTGGAAATTAAGGTCAACCTTCCAGCGTTCGGCTCCTTGTTCTCGATGCCTGGCTTTTGCGTGATGTCACGGGTTCAAATCCCAGATGTATCATTTCTGTATTGCCATTCGTATTGTCATTTCTGTATTGTCATTTGTCGAAATATATTTAGCAACGGTACTGGAGCTTAAAAAGGCTTCAGTTTTCTCATTCTCTTTCACTTTCACTCCTTGTAAACAAATGCGTCTTAGTGGTATTATCACCTTGCTTGGGTTGAAATGATTAAAAGAAAAAAAAAAAAGAAATATGAAATAACTGCATAAATATTTTAGATCGGTATATACTTGTAATTCTTGTAAAAGTTAGAAAAAATATCAATGTTATAAATGATCCTTGTCTAATGCTACAAGATATCCGGAGAATAGATCGATGAAAATGTCGTCAATCAAATTGCAATAACAATAATTCATTAAATAATTAAAATATTTTTTTAGAAAACTTCAGGCACAACAAAATTTGACGTCATCGATCGAAATGTTGTGATTGAAACAAAATCGAAGATATTCGCCCAAAATACTTTCCCAAATGATAAACATGAAGATCTTATGGAAACAATATTGACCGTGAAACGAAACTTATCGGCACCCTATGTTCTGCGGCGTTTTCAAAATGTGAAACATTGTTTTACAATAACCCAGATGTGTTAGCAAACTAAATAGACGTCCGTAAATATCAAATATAAATTCAAGTGGTCATGAAAGAATAATAAAACTTTATATATTTTTTGAATGTGGGACTGGCTTTTTACGCTGACATCCCGAAAGCCTTTGTTAAAAATGCAAACGTATACACAAAATGGCGACGATAGTCTGAGGTATAAAAACAAACGAATAGTTATATGGAAAGATAAAAAAAAATATGGACAGAGCAAAGGGAAAGTCGGCTGGCGTCAAGAAAAATATTTGGTAACTAACTGTACATTGGGGCTGATATTTATCATTGTTCCAAGGAGGAAGAGATTCATATTAATGGAGGCGTGTATATCTAAAAAAAAAAAAATGAGAATTTGGTAATTTTCTGTCATCACAGAAATTTTCCTAACTTATCTAAGTCAATGGATAACATCTCAAAAGTAACATACAAATGTAAACGCATGTAACAAACGACGGTGAAAACAATAATGAGCCTCTCTTTGACATTAGCAGTCAGTGTTCAATCTCAGATGAATGTTGGGCGCTTTTTTTATTTCAAAGTAATTTTTCTTTGCCATCAGAGCAGTACCAGAAAGAGCAATAACAGTTTATTCACCTGAGAAACGTATTATCTTGAAAATTGTTTTTATATAAAGATTTTATAAATTTCAACTGATTGTAGCACTGGCTGCAAATGCATGCCGACTGATTCCTTATAAGGAAATGGTTAATATTATCATTACATTACTATTAATATTGTCAATGCCATTACCATAAATAATATAATATTAGTATTACTAAGGGCAACATCACGTTGAAACACTGGTTACTTTTTGTTTTTTTTGTTTTTAAGCGTTTCACCCCAAGCAAGGCGGGAAGCCATTAGGACGCAAGGGGTTACAGAAAATTTGGAGCAAGATCAGATAGGAGTGATAGAAGAAAGGATGAGGAGAAGGGTAGTGGATAGATCAAGGCAACTGGAGATACAGAGGCCAGAGAGAGAGAGAGAGAGAGAGAGAGAGAGAGAGAGAGAGAGAGAGAGAGAGAGAGAGAGTACCGGAATCCTCTTCCTAAACAAGAAACAAGGCGTAAGCCTCTACTCATGTAGGATCACCGAAGTTAAGCAACGTCGAACCTAGATGAGTGACCGATTGGGAATACCAGACACTGTAAGCTTGGATATGCTGGTGGTGTAATGGATAATGGCTCGGAATTGGCAATCGGACAGCCGTCTCGTCTGCAGAGTTAGGGTTAGGACTAGGTCGTCACCCATAGAGCCCAAGCATAGTTTAAACTGTAACTATGGTGAGCAGATCTTAGTTACAGTTTCAGGGAGTTAGCGCATCATCTGGTGTGATCAACAATTTGAACAAATTCGATACGCACAAACGCACGGTGACGATGGTTTGACGAAATGTTTCCTTTACCCAATTTCACGTACAAAACCTGGGTCAATCCTTAGAATGGTTTTCAGGTAATTCCTAACGGAGCTGCATGCTGGGGGCTTACAACCATATCATCTTGAAACACCGGTTCCCGTACGATCCTCGAAGTTAAGCAACGTCTATCCTGGTCAGTACTTGATGGGTGACCGCTTGGGAATATTAGGCGCTGTAAGCTTGGATATGCTGGTGTTGTAATGGATAATGGCTCGGAATTGTTAATCGGAGAGCCGAGTTCCAATTCCAGTTGAGTTCGTTATATTCACTTGCGCGCAAGTAATCTTGGGAAAATTATGATTCCGCTTTTCCTCTCCCCTAGCTATGGGTTAATTAGTAAGACTTATATCGCAAAACAATTATTATCTCAAAAAAAAATCTTACTATTTAAAAATATTTTCTGGCTTTAAATAACCAGCAAAGGGTTGATAAGCCGTAAAAACTGTGTTACCAGGAATTGTTTCAATGAGTCTATCGGAACGTTTTCCAATCAATTCGAGGGCTCCAACTACAACAGAACTCAATGATGTTCTCGTGTGCCACAGTTTTGAAATTTTTACTTCAAGATCCTTGTATGCTTTGAAGATCTTCAAAATAATTTTAATTTTTAAAATGAATAGATTTTAAGTCAGTTGTTTTTTTTTTTGTTTTTTTTTAAGCATTTCACCCCAAGCAAGGCGGGAAGCCACTAGGACGCAAGGGGTTACAGAAAATATAGAGCGAGATCAGATAGGAGTGATAGAAGAGGGTATGAGGAGAAGGGTAGTGGATAGATCAAGGCAACTGGAGATGTCGATTGATATTACACTTGAATAGCTGGAGATTATAGCTCTCAGGGAAACTGGAATAGGGAAGGGAGTTCCACAGGCGAGAGGTGCAGGACATGAAGCTATTAGAGTAGAAGAGACGGCTACATTTAGGAGTTTCGACAGTGAAAGGGTGAGAGCGGGATGCCACCCTCGTAGGGCGCTTGAACTCATGAAGAAAGTAGAAAGAATCCATTGAAGTTGTATTTTGATAGTTTTTGAAGATCTTCAAAGATACATTACAATCTGCAGGAGCTGCCATGTCAGTAAGAAGGCATATTCTTGTGGTCCTTGATCACGATGTCTAAGCTATTATTATTATTATTATTATTATTATTGTTGTTATTATTCAATTTTTCTGATTTGATGTTTCATGAAATCATTCCTTAAGCAATATTTTTTTTACCTGATGCCTGAGGTAAAGAAAGGTTTTTGGAGTATGTGAACTTTTTTCTATCTCAGTGAAGGGTTTTCTGGGAGTTTGATATGTTTATCGCTATTCATGTGCTCGACATTATTATTATTATTATTATTTAATGATTCAGTCTCTGCTTCTCCTGGCCTCCCCCCTTTTCTCTCTTACGTATTGTTAACTTTCCTTTCTGAGGTTCACCGGACATCACGAGGCAGCAGGATACTCCTCATCTCCCCTGTACATCTTTAGTAAATACCTTCTTCTTCTTCTTCTTCTTCTTCTGTAATAATGAACTTTCTTTCGATCACTCATTCAGTCCTCTTCTTTTTTTTATAACACTCTGAATATTTCCTTTTCTTCTCTTCCACCCCCGTCAGATTGCGATCAGTCACAGAGTCCAATCGAACCACGAACAAATAAACAAACGACATACATCAACATATAAAAAATAAAATCCTACAATAACCCACCTGTTCTTCCCCTTTCTACCCGACGTATTCGGGGTATTGTCGGTTTTATGTACCCGGCTATGTTTACATTTAAGGCTTGCTTAATCACACACACATGATGTCACACCGGGGTGCGGCTCGATACTCGTTGGACATCCGTGTACACATTCCCTCTAAAGCGACCACACGGGCTCAATCAAACATACAACGTTTAATTATTTAAAAGGTTTTTTTACATAGATGAATTTGAAGGAAATAAACCTGGATTTTTAATAACCGCATATGTATTGTCTCAGCTGCTCAAACAAAATTACATTCACGTAGACTCTGTTTCGTAGGTGTATATATATATATATATATATATATATATATATATATATATATATGACTATGTGTGTGCGTGTGTGTGCGCGCGTGTGTACGTGCGTGCATGTAAGGAACATTATCATTTCAACCATGGGACCCAAGGTTGAATCTATTATCGATTTGTGAGAAAGGAGATCACTAATTGATTGATTAGTTTTCTAACGGTTGTCAACACATTGAAGTTTGTTTTTTCTAAGCCAGAAAATATTTTGTTTTTAGATTGTAAAGTTTTTGGGAGAGATAATAATAATTTAATGATACAAGTCTTATTATTTAACCCATAGCTGGGCGGAGAAGAGGTGTATTCATATCTTTCCTTAGGTTATTTGTGCGTAAGTGAATAGAACGAATCCAAGGAGAACTGGAACTCGGCTCTCCGATTAACAATTCCGAGCCATTATCCATTACACCAACAGCACAACGTGATATTAGCGTAAGCCCCCACCATGCAGCTCCGTTAGGAATTGCCTGAAAACCATACTAAGGATTGACCCCGGCTTTGTACGCGAAAATGGGTAATGGAAACATTTCGGAAGACATAGACGGTTGTGCTAGCTCAAAGTTAGAAGCCATTGTGACCGAGCGTTTGAGTGTATTGGACTTGTTCAAATCGTTGATCACACTAGATGATGCGCTAGAACTGATGAAGAACGCTAATTTTTGGAACGATTCGCACAATTTTCGGTTGGTCTTGTTAACTTCATCTGTGCTAGATATGTCAACTAAATTAAATATATACAAAAATAATTTTTGTCATTCAATTTTTTTATAAGAAGTATACATGGATATCTAATATATCTATCTATCTATCTATCTATCTATATATATATATATATATATATATATATATATATATATATATATATAATTTATTCGAAAATTATAACATAAATATGTTATAAATAAAATTATAACGTATTTATGTTACAGCATATTTATGATATCATAACATAATAATAATACTTATGTTATAATAACATTATAACATATTTAAGTCATAATTTTCGAATAAACTCTACTATGTATTGAGGACTCTTTTAAGAAGATTTTTTAAGATATTGGAATTTATTACGTATACATGGGTATATATATATATATATATATATATATATATATATATATAAAACAAATGACGTCACACATTATGAAATGGGCAAAGTCCGACAATTATTTTAAGACATTTTTATGTTTATACATTCTTTTTATAGATACAAAGATTTAAGTAAATTCCCTGTTTATAATAAACAGTATTAAACAACATTTACCGG